TGTGGAAGCTTGCTGAGATAACGATGCACTACTGGCACCATTCTTGGGTCCACTACTCCTCTGGAAGGAAACTCAGGACTGTGATCCCCTCTGAAAAGTCTTCTTTTTCTAAAAGCTCCCAGAACTACTAGAGCTAAAACTAGACATCTTGCTAACTCCACTACTAGGGCCAAGCGACTGTGAGAATCTGCCCTGACTATCTCTTCTCTTTTCAGTCTCTACCTTTCTACCCCTTCTTGCAGCTATTCTTAGTTTGTTGCATATCTCATCATAAGATATGATCTCAAACAAGGTCAATTACTATCGGTACTCAAGCCTCATCTTCTCAAATAGTCTCTCAACCATCCATTTTGAGTCATTATTTCCTATGAGATAGGTAGAGTACTTTGACAATTAATTGAATTTAGCAATGAATGCTTCTTTATCAAGATTCCCTTACTTGAATTCATGGAACTTACCCTCTTTCTCTACAAGGCTATTGGGAAGTAGAAGTTGAAAAACCTCACTTTGAACTCATCCCATGTCCACTCAACTCTACTAGTCGGTTTCACCGACTTCTACCAGTGTTTAGCCTCTTTTTCAACAACATCAAGGCCAAAGTTACCTTCTGCTGTTCTGAGCAAGGCACAACCTCAAAGATTGTTTTAATTCTCTCGATATACTTTTTGACTTTGCCTTCTTTCATAGTCCCATCAAAAGTAAGTGGATGGAGCTGTAACAAAACTCTTTCATGCTCAATCTATGGAGTTCTATGAACCAGCACCACCCATAGCTCTAGATTGTTTAGGTGTGCTGTCCTCATACGCTCTTTCATCTTCCTCATACATCTCTTCTTTATTTTTTATTGTTCTACTATCACCCCTTGCTCTATTATTCCTAGGTACCTCTTGACCCCGTACTGAATTGCATATTTCTTGCATCAAATTCCTCATCTCCAATAGCAAGGCCTCATTGCCCTACGGCTCATTCCTTGATTGTTCTAAGTTCTGACTAACTGGAATGTGATTCTCTGATAGTAGCTTATTGATCTCTGGTACCACATCTATATTAGATGGGTTACCACTTGCAGTAATTCTAGCAGTTCTTCTTCTTACCATCCTCTCTCTCCTCCTGAGGATAGAAGTAACCACACAAAAAGTGAGTGTTAAATTAGATAACTATGCAAAGGAAAGGTAAGTGTAATAAATATATATGCCAACTTCTAGACATAAATGTAACAAGCAAAACAATCTAACACAATAATCACACATACCAGTCTCAGAATGCGTGAAACTAATACCAAATTGTAATGTGTACTTTAACATTACTAGGATAATAAACATACAAGCCGTTGTGATAACTAGGATTAGATAAAATCTGAAGAAGAATTTATCACAACCTAGGAGTTTAAAAGATAATTAGTATAAAATAATGGGACCTTAAAAAAATCCTTTTTAAATATTATTTGAGCTCAAACCATGATTAAAAATCAATTGATTACAAATACGAAAGAATGAAAATCCAATAGCCTTCAAAATAGGCTGAAATAAACCTTTTCTCAAAATCTGGTCCATTCACCGTGGTGCAAGCCACGCCCACTACGACAGATGGCATAGAGGAACGAATCCCTTAGGAAGGTACTTGCGTCGTGGTGCAACTACCATGCGCCACGGCACACACCTATTGTCATGACAACACTCCAAACTTCTAAAGTGCATCATTTCACCATCCGCGTCCAATTTGGGCAGTTCAAGTATACACACGAAGCTCTTTAAGCTCTCTAGCTAATAGCACCAATCTCACACTCAAATGATCATTCGTTAAAACTATGACACCTAAATTTAAAATGATTCGTTTTCACCTTAAAACATACACAGAGGTGTCCAACTCACAATACCAAATGCCATTAGCCCCAGATATACTTTGACCACCTCAAATGGACCACACACAATATGACAGATCATTTATATCACACAAATAAGCAATCATACTCAAAATGACCACCAAACCCCTATTTGACAATAATACAAAAGGAGGATAAAATTTAACACACATGTCAATTGGTTATTTTAGCACATAAATCACTTCAAATATATCAGTTGTAATTGTAACTTGGCCAAGCACACACACTTAATCCACAACATCAACCTTGGACTAAGATACACACACACTTATCACAATTTCATTCAAATGATCACCAAAATAATATTATGTTCCTAAGTTGACTTAATAACATAGCATATTCATTACAAACCCACAAAAAGAAAAGGGAAGAGCTATACAAAAACACTCTTCACTCTCCAATTACTCCTTCCTTCCCCTTACCCCTACCGAAGCCCTCACTTGTGAAATATAACTACAGGGTGAGATAAACATCTTAATAACAAAATAATTCATTACCATTAATTAATATGGACAACCATTAGGGAGTAAAGCCATTAAACACCAAAATTTACTTTTACATATTATAACATAATCTTTTCATGAATACAAATCATTTACCACTAGCATGATCATTCTACTATTCGAGTCTCCATATCTCAATTGAAACCATTAGCTCTTGAACCAATTGCACATTCACCATGGTTCGAGCTCACCTTCAATGGTAGGATCACCCGCCAAAGGTATTCTATCCCACTTTCGGACTATGATCTCCCTCTATCGCACAAAATTAGGGTGTCGTTACTCTAACACCGCATCATTGATGTTAAGGAGCGTCACTCTCCAATGCCATATCTTACATGGATACTAAGGAGAAAATCTCCAACACCGTGCCTCACTAGACACTAAGGAGATACATGCCATATGAACTTCTACTACTCCTTCCTACAGGTGAACTCTCACCTTTTAACATGATCATGCTCACACTCATCATATATAACACATGTACATTTCGAATTTCTTAGCCAATCCATATAAATTTTTAATATTGTCATCATTTACAAATAGTTTTTCATGCACAAAATCACATTTCACAATAAGCAAGATTATCAAATCTCAAGCTCAAATTAATATATCTACTCACAAACAGTTAAGCAATATAATCAAATAGTGTAAATTATTCCGTTACCTCAACCCTTTATCACACAAAAGGGTTACTATGGCTCAACATTAGCTTCACACATTCTATATGCACGAGGCAACTCGAGCAACACTTAATCTACATAATCAAGTGATAATCATCAATTATCACTCTAGATAACCTTGAATTCACTAGGTTCTTAGTGCCTATAACACCTAAATTCCTTACCTAACTACACCGACCATTTTAAAATACTATAACCATCTTATTAAACATTCCAACACACCAAATTCATCATCTAATTCCCCACGTTGTCTTAAAATCTTTAAATTATACCTAGGGTTCATCTAAACCCTCAACAAAAATTTTCAATCACTATAAAACCCATAAACTTAGGGTTAGAGGATTGATTTAACCCCCCAAGACCTTAAATAATCTAATAGATTTGGTCTAAATCTAAGGGAATCAAAATCAAAGCCCCCATTGCCATAAAAGTCAGAAATGTTCGCATTAAAATGAAGGAGAGGGAATGTGGAACTTGCCAAAGGATGATTCAACCTCCTAATGCTCCCAATGTGGCTTAAGGATCGTGCCCTAGCAGTGCACGAGCTCCTCTTCGTCGTTCTCTCATTTTCCTTCTTTCTTCCTTCTATTTTTGGTTTGTTTTTTGCATCTGATAAGAGCAGATTTTACACGTGTGCCACGATGCATTGACACGCTCACTATAGCACATGGCACAAAAAGTCCCACCAAAATTTAAACTCCATTCCATGCCATAGCCCGCTGAAACACTGACCTAGCCTCCTCCTAAGGAAATACTGATAATTCCTAATTTAAAAATTTAGGATGTTACAACTTCCACATAAAAGTACTTCCAAAGGCATTTCATTTTTTAAAAAAATAATTTGAAATTTAATATTATAATACAATTTTTTATTAAAAAATTATTATATTGGTGTTAAATAATAAAAATTAAATAATATTTGAAAAGTACTTTAAGTTATTAATTAATTAAACATTAATTTATAATAAATTTATAAATTTAAGATTAATTAATTGGCTAAAAAATTAAAATACTAAATAAAATTATAATATAATATTTTATAAATTATTCTTATTAATATCTAAAATAATTATAATACTTCAATTAATAACATAAAATATAAAGTAATTAACACCAAATTAAATTATTAAGAAATTATAATAAAAAAATTTCAAAGGGTCTTTTGGAGCGCTTCATGTTCTCTGGAAGATCATATTCTTTTAGAGCGCCTTTGGGAAGAAGTGCTTTGAAAAGATATATAATTTTAAAATAATTTCATTTTTTAGTCTTTTAAAAATTTTTTTTTTTGGTTGAAAGTGCTTGGAGGAACTAACCTTTTAAAGCGCTTTTTTTTAACAAGTGTAAGCTCTGCCTTATTTTTTAGGAGCATTTTTAAAGTAAGTGCGTCTATATGGGTACTTCAATAAGTCTATTTTGCAATAATGTCATTTTCCCAAATGTATTTTCGCTTTGCAGAATTGGTTAATGAGATTCGAAAGAACCTGGTGCTTCTTATATGGATCAAAAGATTGTGCAAAAACGCACGCGCGCGCGCGCGCACACATATATATATATAGCGATAATGAATTTTGAAGTAGTAAAATGCTGGGGAAGGAAGATAGAAGAACAAGAGTGTGTTTCTTTTTCTATCAAACAGGGATGTTTTAGTCAATTCAGGAAAAAAGAAAAAAAACGCATTCACCCCCAATCCTTTGGGACTTGATAGATATTTAGTGATTTTATAGTACCTTTGGGAATTTTGAATGCTTTTGTGGTACTTCATAGTAATGTTCTTTTGACAAATTGAGCAAATGAAAAGTTGCTCTAATGCACTAATAATTATTTTAAATTTGCAGTGGAATGCTCTTTTGACAATAATTAGGCATAGAAACGATCAAAAGAAGCTTTTAGCCTTTGACACTATTATTAGTTCCAAGGCGCATCATCTCCATTAAATGATCATGGACCAATACTTCTTCTTCATTCCGTCGCTGAACATTTCTCCAGCGAGAGCTTTTGCAGTTTCTGTGCTCTAATTTTCTGGTATTTTTCATTCTTCCTTTAATCTAAGATTGTTTCTTTCTTATAATTATTTTCTTCTTCTTTTATTTCACCTCAACTCATTTTTTTTAAATCAAATTTTTTAAACAGAAACAGGAGATTTCCCTCTCATGGAAAGCATCCCAAAACCAGCTGCTCTACACAGGTAATACCTTTGGCGTTTGGTTTTTCATCGTGTTTACATATATGTGTGTGTCTTCTGCTTTATAATTTCTTACACTTCTGCTTTGTTTTTCTTGAATTCCTCCAGTATTTGAGAGTTAAGGGGAAATATTTAATTAAATCATGAATAGACTAAAATATTTGGTGTTTGAGATTGTATTACGATAAGCAATTTGTTTATCAAGTCGATTTTTGGATAACTATAAATAGTTTAAATAGATATTAATGGAAATAGTAATTTTTTTAATAGATAATTATAAATTATATTCTTATTCCCTCTTTTAAAAAATATAAAGTATTTTTAATCTAGTTATACACCTCAATAAATTAGTTAATTCTCTTTAAATGAACACTATTTTTTAGGTTTTCCCTTATTTAATAGAATGCCTTACTTTAAGGTAAATTGTTAGAATTTTTATTGGGAGAAATGCTTATATTTAGTATCCAATCAATTACACCTATGGTCAATTAAAAAAAAAGATGATCGGTTGAATGTTTTTTTATTAAAGATATATATTTTTTAAAAATATTAATTACACATTGAATATTTTTTATTTTTTAATATCTAATTGTAAAAAATACTTTATATTTTTAATCCGAGAGAGTGTCCATTTTCTTATAATTCTTGTCTATCTCCTATAATATCTAAACCTTATGATAAAATTAAAAGTTTAAATGTAAGTAATGATCAATAATATCTCATGTTAGGTAAAATTAAAGGTTTCATATCTAATTTGGACTATTTAAATTTTAAATATTTTTTATTTTAGGAGTAAACTAATATAAAAAATAACATGGTCACAATCAATTCATAAATAAAAATTTAGATAAAAAATATAAAAATAATAAGATTTAAATGGCCTGAATCAAATATCAACAAAGATCAGTTAACAAAATAGTCACTGTACATTTTGGCTTTGATAATACCCAGATCAAAGAATTGTAATTAGATACTGGATAACGGCCCACAAAAATTCAAAGAATGAAATAATCTATTATCTATTACTTTTATTAACATGGGGTGGCCATATCTACAGTAAATGAACAGTGCTCCATTTGCTATTTTTTTTTTATATCAGAGCTCCACCTATTGTCTTCATTAATTGCACGTTCCAGGTCACGTGTTCCAATTCTCCATCTATTGTAGTATTGTAATTATAATAATATTATACTATTATAATTATAACATAATATTATGATATTGGAGATAGAGATTCGAATATTGTAGTGTTAATATTATTATAATATTTGATGGTTTCTGTTGTTTGTTTTTTCTCATCTCAGCTAATATTTTATATTTTATTTTGAATTTAACTACTATAACACGGAAAAGGACGGAGAAAGGGGAGGTTGGTCTTGCATTTATGGGATAGATTAAATGGGAAGGTGGATGGGTCAATTGGCACGATTTCAATAATTTTTGAATTCTTGGTAATTTTCATGTTGCCATTTCGCACCACCAGGTGAAATTTTAAATATATTGTTTGCCTAGTGTGATATTCGTATGTGCAGAACAATCAATCATCAATCATCAAATTTCTATATAAATTTGGGATCTTCCTTTGAACACTAAATGAACAGTGGCACCAATGTGAGTTTTTTTTTTAATCATCAAATACACAGATACATTTATCAAAAACATTTCATAGCCTCAGTCCTTTAAGTATTTCCCCTATTTAACTTCTCGGCACCTCTCCAATTTCCATTAACAAGTTCTCATGATCATTTACTTCCCTCAGTCGCTTTAAATTTTGTCTGCTACTCTGCCACTTCTTCTCCTCTAATATCCTTCATTTCTCATGCATTCACGCTAGGTACGCCCTACCCATCCCTCCATAAGTGTGGATGTGGAAGAGGATCCTTCAATTGCCCCTTTTTCGGTGGGAGTCATCTGTTTGTGACTATCGACGGGCACTTCCATTCACTCAACTTGATGGCAAAAGCTTCGTAAACGAAGTGTGAGCTTGGAATCCACCTTTTAATCCAAGACCTTCACCACCTTACCATCTGAACCCACGATGGTGGAGAAACGTCCATAATTACTTATGCTTCACTGTGCGATAGATCTATGTTTGACTTTCCACAGCCCTATTGAATCAGGTAGCTGAACACGTTAAGTTTGTCGCTGTGCTTGGGATCTCTACTTCCGTCTATGGGTTCCAAATGGCTTCTAGTGATTAGTGTCAAGCGAACACAGTTTTGTGGTGCTGACAATAAGGTAATGTATGATTTGTGGGTTCTCTGTGTATTGTCCTTTCATTAAATCATTATTGCCGCTCATATTTTGATGAGGAATACGTAAGTGATGCAATTGGATAGATGGTTGCCTCCGTGATCCTTATCCAGACTGCACTGTGTTAAAATTAGAGAGATATTTTGGTACTTTATGTAACAACACGGACTCACCCCACCCCACCGGGGGTTTTTTGTCGGTGCTGGGCCCTAACCCTTCACAGGGCCCAAGCCGGCATTTACCATTGGTGGTATGATGGTTATTCCTCACCCCACCCTCATGGGGGTCTTTTGAAACCTCCCCAGACTCAAACCTCCAACCTCTACCACCTTAACAAAGTTGAGGCTGAGTCTGGTATCGTTAAGTCACTTGACTCAACGGTACCAGATTCAGCCTGAACTTTATTAAGGTGGTAGAGGTTAGAGGTTTGAGTCTGGGGAGGTTCCAAAAGACTCCCGTGAGGGTGGGGTGAGGAATAACTATCATACCACTGGTGGGAAAGCTGGCGACCGTCCTGTGAGGGGAGGCACGCCCAGCACCGACAAAAAACCCCCGGTGGGGTGAGGTGAGTCCGTGCTGTTACACTTTAGATTTCGTTTCCTTTTGAATGTATTTTCCCTTTTCATTAAAAAAAATTAAAAGTACTTCTAAAGGGATATATCATGAAATCAAATGTTATTGCTATTCTCATTTTCATCAAAGCCTATAACATTAGGTCAAAATAGACATAGTTAGCTGTACTCTTTTTATTTTTCAATTGCTGCTTCATGATACTTCAAAGTAGCTATTTTCTGATATATATGCTAACTCTAATAACCATAATTCATCTCCTGTAGCTGACTAAACATTGATGGTGTATATATAATGACTATGATGACAATCTAATCTCTACAATGTCCTGACTGCTTTATGATTTTCATTATGGTTTTGCTTTCTTCACTTTATGAAATCTTGAGTGTAATTCCAATAGTCCAACTTTTGCTTCGTTAGTAGATGAGAATGGTTGGGTTCAAGTTTTTTGGAATGTGTGGTCGTTTGTCGACTGAAATACTTCACCAGGTAGAGGACAAAATAATGTTCTATGTGATATTAAATCTCAAGGAAATTAAATAAAGACTTCTGCTCGGCATGTTATATGGATGAGTCCATGTTCAATATTCTACAAGTTATGAATAGCTTTTCCATATCCTGATTTCCTCCATTATAGGGCCTGTTTAGCCATGATGCAACTCTTTTATCTCTAGCTTTCTTGTCAGGTTCTCAAATTTAGCTCCTAGCACAACTTTGGCCAACAGGTCTAGTACTTTAAATTATTAGATGAATGATGAAGTTTAACAGTATTGTTTTTGAGCTTTTTCTTGATTAAATTTTTTGTCAAGCTTCACACATGTTTTGTTCTGTTAAGGTATACAAAGTTATTTAGTATATTGATGATTAGGGCCATGTTATTACATTGATAGTTTCATAGGTGCTTCAATAGCAATGCTTAATTTACTAGGAAGACATTTTCCTAGTGTATCTTCAAGCACCTTAAGATTCTGATAACAGAAAAAATGCCCTTCTCTATAGGTCTCTATTTATAAACTAGCTAACAAGTCAGAAATTGACATTCACCTCATATGAGACAAGCCGATTAGTTTCCTTACATGTCTTTTGTATCTCTCGATGTCTATTGTCTTTGAAGCATATCTTATGCGTAGGTTCAATTGGAGTCTCTGCTGGCTTTCAAGCTAGCATGTAGTCTCTTCCAGAAGATTCAAGGTATATTTTCTATGTGATCAATTTTTTTTTTTGAATTGGCAAGTTCCTTATATATGAAATTCTTTAGGTCAGCGAGAAACTTAATCCCAAACTGAATTTCAAGGGTTCATTTAAGCTGCATGATTTCTTCTAAAATCATGAGTCATTATGATATCATTGACATGGACAATTAATCAAAATAGCAATTTTACTTTTAGGGTATAACTCAGTAAATAAAGTGTGGTTAGTTTTTCCTTGAATATAACCATAGCCTTTATTCTTTAATAGTCTTTGTGAACTTTTTAAGCCTTGGTTATAACAAAACTTTGTCGCCATCCAGCTCTTATAGGTTGAATTATTCCCTAATAGACAATATGCCTGGTAATTAGATGTTGAAAGTCACTGATAAAGGCTTATGATATTAAATATTTAATATTTAATATCTAGGTATTTATCCATTAAGTATTTTATCTATTAGATATTTTGTCTAATTTTTTATCATCTTATCTTCCAGAGTTATTAAATAGATTTAAACTAGATTTATTAGAGCTAGAGAAGCAAGCTTGGTGCCTCAAAATCTCTATACATATGATGCTAAATAAAATAACATGGCTGAGAAAATTGCTTGAAAACTCAGTCATTTTAACAAAAGGCTACTCCATTAGTTGCCAAATTTAGTTCTCTATTTTTTTCATTATCCCGTTGCATGAAAATGCTTGGAAATATAAATATCAACATTGTTTGTTGATTTTATTCTTTTCCAGTTTTTGTTCTATTTGTTCTTTGGCTGTTATGGAGAAACTTATAATACCAAGACAAAAGAAACTTTGTTGACAGTCTCTTTGCTTCAGGAAAATCTAATCCATGATGATAATGAACTTATTTTGTTGGCATTCTTGGCGATTCATTAGAGTATGTTGAAGACTCTATTGCAAGGTGAGTTTTCCATCCTTTACAATCCTTAGAACAATGTTTTATCTTGTTCAAGAAAGTTTATATGGGTTAGTAGGAAAAACTATTACTGTATGCATATATTATGCTATAACCATGAGAAATTGAGGAGTTTAATTTCAAGTTTGATCTTGAACAAAATATAAATATCATACAGGGGCCTTATAGATATGGATAAGTTTTTTGAGATCCAATCATTATTTTAAAAATAGAATGCTGTCTTTTGTCACTAGCCCATTGGACTGCGTTTGTTGGATAAATTGTTTCCTATAAGGGGAACTTTGTTCTGCAACTTTTGGTTATTAGCAGCTAATTGACTTGCCTTTCTATTATAGCATTTAGTTCATGGCTTTATTCTTTTTACTTTGTATTGATACCCTTTCATATGAATATGATAGTGATTTTCTATCGTTGTGGGGCTTTAGCAATTTTACAGAATATGATAAGTTCATCATGTACACCTTGCTTGTGTAAATTCCTAATTCCAAATTGTAAAGTGATTCCAAGATAGTTTCCTTTTCCTTGGTTTTCCTTACTTCTAGGCTGTGAAGAACAAATGATCCACTTGGATTGGCCTACAAGTGTGAGAATTTGTCAAGGAATAGCAAGGGGATTGGCTTATCTTCATGAGGAATCAAGATAGAAAATAGTATATAGGGATATTCAGGTAACTAACATCTTGCTAGATAAGGATGTGAATGCCAAGATCTTTGACTTCAGTTTAGCAAAGCTCGATTATGATGATAATACCCACATTGGCACCTGAATAGCTAGAACAATGTATTATGCCATATTAAATTCTATATTTGATTGCTCATTAACAGAATTTATCTTCACCATGCACTTCCTCTGTGATGTATGATCTGCTATTGCATAAAGCCATTCTCATTCAAATGATCCTAGAAACATCAATATTTCATTTGTTTAGTAAAATCATTAATTTGTGGGTGTTGCATATTCTCTTTTCAATAGTTACATGGCTTCTAAACATGTAATGAGGAGTTACATGATAAACAAAGGATATATTTATAGTTTTAGAATTGTTGCTTTAGAAATTGTTTGCAGAGAGGACAACACAAATTATAGGCAAGGTGTTTTAATTTATAATAAATATAAAATAATTTATTGATTATGTGTATGTTTTAAAAAAAATACATTAATTACGTGTTGAGACATTTCTAACCCTTAAAAAATGTATCACACTTTTGAACGGTTATTACTAAGAAAAATTAATGAATGCCTTGAATTTATAGTATTTTTTTAAAGGTTTTTTTTAAATAAAAGTGCTTTATTTACTAAGCATGAAATATTTTTGTGGCCATGGTAAGATGGGAGGAAGTGACTCCCTCCGTTTAAAAATATAAGGCATTTTTTTAAGAGTTAGATGTTCAAAAATATAAGGCATCTTTAGTTTTTTGATGTATAATCATTAATTTTTTTTCAAAAGTGCCCTTACTAATAATAACTTTATATTTATTATAAGGTATTTAATAGGGATAAATATGAAAAGATAGAATTAGTTAAAAAGTAAATAACTACTTTAATGGGAGGTGAGATTCAATTAAAAATGCCTTACATTTTTAAACGGAGGGAGTATATTTTTTTGAACAGTAAATTACAAATATCATATAGCTTTCTTATTTGTTTTGATACTCTTCTCGCACTTCACTAAATTATTATGATACAAGAAATTGAATAATTTATTTAATACTTTACTAATGAAATCAGACATTAACAATTATAAGTTTCTCCTTAAATTAGTTTGGTTAATTGCGAATAAGTTTACACACAAAAAGCCTAAATGATAATAATCCATGATAAAAGTAATAAGGTGTCCTAAAAAATGACCAATGTTGTATTCTAAGATATATTTGAGAACACTGAAAATAAATTATAATTTTTTTTTGTTATAGTATACACTGGTTACTTGCTTAACTTTCTTTTTTATAAATTATATTTTTCTATCATAATTAGTTATAATTAATTGATTATATTATTTACATTTTTCAATGTGGTCCAACTAAAGACTAAATGCTTAATTCCAGGAAAAAAAAAAACTAAATAACACAAACGTTGTTGATTTAAAATAATTGGCATATAATAATAAAGATATTTTACAATATAACTTATCCTACGAGAAGATAACTTTAAAAACATATAAATGAATTTAATTAATTGATATTTTACCCATACATCGCACGAGAGGTGAACACTAGTTATTCTTGTTGGTGGAAATCCGGCGTCTAAAGGAACAAACATAATATTGTTTTACTTTTTGGACCACCTTTATTTTGTTTTACTTGACCCCACTAATTTAAAATAACAGAGATGGCTAATATAATATTTGAGAGTTGCCCCTGCGGCCACATCCGATGAAACTTGGAAACATAACAATTGAGAGTTCTAATAATTGAGATCAAGAGAGAGTTATAATATATTTTTTCCATTCCAAACAATAAGATATTTAAAAAAAATTTAATATTTTAAAATATAAGATATTTTGATAAAAATAAAGCTTCATTAATGATTCTTTTTTAATATTTTTCCTCCCATTATATTCTTTCTTTTTAATATTATTTCATAAAGGGAGTATTAAATAAAGGCTATTTTTAAAAGTTTATATATTTGTTTTGAAAAAATAAATTTTTAAATTATATTTAATAAACTTTATTAGTACTTGTAATTTTATCCAAAAGTTTCTTCTAATTTGAAATGGAGGAAGTATATTTTTTTTCCTTAAATATAAGAGTTAGCTGGGAGTTTATTTTGGTCCTAAAACTTTAATCTCCTTTAAGTTGTCTCTTATGTTTATTATTTTTTTGCAAATACCTTATAATTAGATTCTTAGATGATGTATAAACATTGTTGATAATATTTTAATGTAAATGATTAAAATCAGCGCTATTTTAAGAAAAAAATTCAATGCATAATTTTCTATAGACAACTAGCTAATATAATTTTATTAATATGGGTGAACTAGTTAACTAACTCCTATATTAAGATGGGAGGGAGTAATATACTAAAATAATTCTCCTAATTTATTATCTATCCAAGTAATTTGGCATCCTATTGATGGCTATGATTATGATGGTGGTGCCTTATTTCATTTCACTTTCCGACCAAAAAAAAAAGTGATCCCTTGCATTCTCTGGTACGATATTTTATTTTATTTTTGTTTCTATTATAATTTTAATTATTAATCATTAATCAGTATTTTGACCAATTCAATATGAGTAACCCATTTTTAGTACCTTTGATACAGGGGATTAAACTTTGTCAGAAACAACACACCTTTGATTCTTTTAATATGTTTGAAATATCTTCTAACTAAAGTTGGGATGATCCAAACTTCAGTTGGAGGTATTAAAAACGTGTTACAAAATAAGGTTTGAATACAAAAAAGTTGAAAAGAGCTTTTGGGAGAAAAAGAGTGTTCTATTGTATCTGGTTAATAAAACTTTTTCAACGCTCCTTCATGTGAATGTAGATAGTGTTTAATATATCTTTTTAAGTTTTTTGTCAAAATTCTCTCTCCAATGGGTACAATCACCGTGAATAAATTATTTGCAGCCCCTGAATGCCCACATAATTTAAAAAAGTGACATTGGGATATAAAAATTAAATAATAAGTTATTCTATTTAAGACACAGGGGACAAGCCCACCTATTATTGAATTCCAAAAAAAAAAATCCCTCGCTAGTATTTCTAAATATCACTCGGATATCAATAATATTTTTATTGGATATTTTAATATATTTAATTATTTTTTCTTTTCATAGCTAAATATTTTGAATTTTATCATTTAATTCTACTTTTTTAAATTAAAATTTTTATTTATCAATATATTTTATATTTTTAATATACTTTTTTTACAAAATTATAATTTTAAGTTTAATATTTTTTTTATTTAAAATATTAAATAAGTTACAAAAATACATACAAGAAAATTTATGCCCATTTTTATCATTATATATCTTTATTGACTTTTGAATTAAATTATTTAAATAAATTTTAATTTATTTAACTGACTTTTAAAAAAAATATTCAAACATAAATTACATTATGTTCATAGACTTTTTCTTTAATCTCAATTTACTTTAATTCTAACTTTAATTTCAGATTTTTTTAATTCAAACACAGTTCTTAACTTTGTTGCCTTTCACTGAATTATCGTTCTGCTTCTTAAGCTAAGCATATTATTTCAAGTAAGTCTCTCTCCATCTCTCTCTCTCTCTCTCACGTGTCTCTCTATTACTGATTCTTTTTAGGTTCATGAATCTTATATATATGTCACATCTCCATTTTCTTTCTTTCCAAACATTCCTCCTTGATTCGTCCTGCAGTTTCAAGTAATCTTCCACCTTCTTTCTTTGCCACCTAAAAAATTTATCAAAAGCTGCTTTTCAATTTTAACTTTTTCCTCCTTCCTAAATTAATGTTAAGACGTACAAGTTACTTAAAAAACGATTTCACCCGAATTAAGAAATATAAATCTATCTTAAATTTTAAAAATAATAGTCTAACATTGCCACTATTAATGAGAGAAAAACATCATATTTGATATGACAACTGTAAACTTTAAATTAAAATTAAATTCTCCTTCTAATTATTTGTTATTAGAGGTATAATTGAAAATATTAATTAATAATTTATTATGTAACTTATATTAACGACTAATTTTAAAGACATCTTATAATAGAGATGGAATTATGTCCAATGTGGGGTGGGGTTCGGATTGAGTGCTCATGTTACAAAAGATTTAAATTGCTTAAATCTTATTTAGCAGTCAAATCTATGAAGAATATGCTGCCAAAATTTATTATAAGATTTATTTTGTAAAAAATCAATTAATTAAAAAGAAAAGGGTTAAAAAGAATATGCTGCCATAATTTTTTTTTTATTTTCGAACAATTGCGATGCTCATTAAATTTAACATAATAATATAAAATAACACTACTTACACTTGTAACAGAAAATTCAATTTCACAATGAGTAGAGATGTTCAAAACTTTCTTTATTGTTTTTTTTTTTCATTTTTGACCTTGGGTCACTAAGGTCTTTTAGCTTTTTTGGCCACGGTCTTTATTTTTCCTTGCCATCATGTGCTGCTTCTTTTGTTCTTGGAGTTTCCCTCAATTATTGTTGCTTTTTAGGCTTTGAACAATATTCACTCTATTTCTAAACAATATTGTTCTTTTAAAAATAAAATTATTTAACTAATTATTTTATAATTATTTTCGTTAGTGGCAAAAACAATTAACATATGAGATCCATATCCCTCCCCGCAACTTTTGTTCATAATCGTTTTTAAAATGGCATTGTTTGAGGAGGCAAAGATTTGGCTGCAATTATTAATGCATAAATTAATTCAAAAATATTTTCTCAGTAGATAATTTATTATTTTAAAATGCTATAAAAAAATAGTACCAAGCGGGTGTGGCACATATAGTAGTTGGAGCCCTTTAAGCATAATTTTAAGGTCTGATTCTTAGAAGTATGTATGAAAAAACATCCCTTTGGGAGAGAACAACGTGCCCCTTAAATAGCACTCTCATTTTTCATGGGATTTGCCTTTTGATTTTCGGCTGTAGAGATAACGTGGATGAAAAAAAAAAAAAATAGTTCTACGAAAAGAAGAACAAAATAGAATTGAAAGTCGACAAAGTTTTAGATGGGAAAGAAATAGTGAGAAGAGAAGAAAATGGAAATATGATCTATACTTTATTCATTAGATTCCACAACATAAAAATGAAAAATTGAAAAAAAAAATCGAAATTAGTGATATTTCTCTATTTCTGAGTCTCATATATTTGTTAGGCACTGAAGTTTATCTTTTATTGCAGTTTTGTGTG